AGAATAGAATAGAATAGAATAGAATAGAATAGAATAGAATAGAATAGGAATTGGATTGGAATGGAATGGAATGGAATAAAGTAGGAATAAAAATAGAAATTGGAATAGGAATAGTATTGATTGCTTATTGTACCCTATGTCTATTATTAAGTGTTGCACCTTATGATTCTTGACTCTTGGCAAATGTATTTTTTTTCTTTTCAACTCAATTACTTACCTTCTACTGCAGACCCGGTGATTAAAACAGCAGGGCAGAGGTGGTATTCAGCAGGTTCTGACCAGTTCTGGAGAACCGGTAGTGGAAACGTTGAGTAGTTTGGAGAACCGGCAAATACCACCTCTGACTGGCCCCGCCAACCCCATCTATTCTCCGCCTCCCGAGTCCCAGCTGATCAGCTGGGTCTTTGGTTGCCCTGCACAGGAGAACGGAGCTGGAAAGCAGGTTAGTGGGGTGGGGAGGGGGTTTTGCCCCTGCCATGCCTACCAAGCCATGCCACCAAACCAAGCCATGCCCACCAAGCCACGCCCACAGAACCAGTAGTAAAAACAATTGAATCCTACCACTGCGGCTGAGGTACAGCAAACAGCTCTGCCATGCCAATCAGCTGTGCTAAAAACCCAGGAAATGAAGCAGGTGGGCAGGGCGCCTTTTCTTTCTTCTTGGCAACTTTTTGGAAATCCAGGCTGGCTGAGGAACGAGTGCAAGTGGTGGTGGAGGCTTCCCTCCGGCTGACCCTCCTCCTCCCTCTCCATCTCATCTCACGACCCCTGGCCCTAAACCCCTGTCAGTTGTCCCCTCCTCCTGGATCCCATTCCCACCCTGCCAGCCCTTGTGTTACCGAGGCCGGGTTGGGGCAGTGTGTCAGGGCAGAGAGCCGGTTGTGCATCTCCGTAAGTGACTGAGGCACGCCCAGCACCATAAGGGCCAGAAGAAGCTCCAGCAAGAGTGAGGCGCCGGAGAATCAGCCCTGGGCGCTTCTCCATCCCCCGCCGTCACCCTTACCTTCTCAGGCCAGGCAAGGAATGACTGGGAGGAGAGGGCAAGGGGCAGGGCCAACCAGCGGTGGTATCACCCAACAGGGAGTCTACAGCAGAGGGCCCAAAGAGCCGCATGCAGCTCCGGAGCCGTGAGTTGCAGACACCCGTGCTAGGCTTTTGAGACGTATCAATATTGCTGCAGTGTACATAGTGCTCACATTATGGATTGTGTCATGCCCCTGGTGGAGTCTGACTCTGAGGGAGAGGAGGAACAGCCTATAGGGAGTGGAAGTGTGGCTCCGGAGGTTGTGGAGGAGGCTGGGGAAGGGCAGATGCCAGCTGAGCAGTCAGAGGAGGACCCAGGCCCATCCCCTCTCCATCCTAGGACACGCAGAGAGGAGAGGATAAGGGAGAGACATGGTCTGTTGGGGAGGAGGGGGCCTTCATGGGCTGCAGCTGTGACAACTGGATAAGAGGATGGACACGTGTACTGGTGAGTGCTGGAAACAAAGCATGGAAATATCTCTAGTTTATGGTTCTTCTCTTGAGTTTGGCGTCTTTTCCAGTGTGTGTTCTGTTATCTGTGGATGTCCTCCAGCCCTTATCTTGCCTGGTTTGTGTTGTTTTTTACTCTTTATAATTTATAGGCACTTTTAGCATTTTCTCCTTCTTGTAACTGCTCATGTGTGAGGTTTTTTTGTCTCCGGTCAAAGATATTTGGAGCTTGGAAGCAAAGTGAAGGAATAAAAGGGGCTTTACCTGTTTTTTGTGACTGTGTTTATTTTGTATCCCACCCTGGGTCATCACAGATTGCTTATTAACTACTGATTCTCAGACTGCGTTTCTATGGCTGCAGATATTTTTACTATCGACTACATTTTGCCATTTTAACATCTCTCTTGGCGCAATCTAAAAATACCGCAGATCACAAAATGTTTCCTTACGATTAAAAACGCCTTACCCCCATATCTAATCTAGCTTTTCCTCTAACGTGTTAGATGAAAGTGTTTTCCTTTCAGAATGATTACGGGTAGTCCTTGACTTATGGCCGAGCCCCACATTTCTGTTGCTAAGCGAGGTGGTTAAGTGTGCGCAAACATTTTACAAACTTTTTTGCCATGGTTGTTAAGCGAATCATGCAACCGTTAAGTGATTCTGGCTCTCCCCCGACTTTGTTAATCAGAAGACGTCTGGATAGGTTGCCAATGGCACAGAAATGGAAGGACATTTTGATCCCCGCAATGAGATGAATGGCTGCAAAATCTGATGGAGTTAGCAGAGATGGCTAAATTGACTGCTTTGATTAAAGGAAAAGAAAAATACAAATACTTTCATTTTTACACTTCTGGACTTTGTGCTTGGGGTGGTGTTCTGTCTTTAAATTGCTGGCTGAATATAAAGACAGACAGGCAAACTCTACAAAGGCTTCCGTACAAAGTTCCTTTATTGGATCCAAGGCGTTCTCAAGGTGTAACTCACAGTTATGTCGAGATTCATCTAATGTCCAAATCTTCGCATAGCTGACTTCCTAGTGTGAAAGTATAGCGATCTTCATCCCATAACGATGGAGCAAAGGATAAGACACCAGCAGGTAGCTGGGGTCCAGGCAAGAGTCAAGGAAGCTCCCGCAACCCAACCAAGGGTCAACTCAGTGACCAATCAGGATTACAGATGTGGCCACATGACATGAACTACATTTCCCATGATGCATTAACTACATTTACCATGAGGCATTCCCTTAAGGGGACAGCTCCCAATTCTCACTTAACTATCTCAATTCCCAATTAACTATATACTGTCTAGACAGCACAGGTAGGGAAAAAAATGAAATTTGATTTCGGGTTTTTCCAATTAGATAGATTTGTTGCTATAGAAATGGTTAGTTTCCAATTAATATGAAAAAGTAAAAAGTTGAGTGTAGATCATAATGCCTTATTTTACTGCACCAAAGGAGTCAGAAATCATTGCCATTTCTAGACAAAGCAATGTAAGGATAATTTTTGAATAGATTGGTGATGATGAAATGAATGTTATAAAATAGTTTATGTAAAAATGGGGATTTGCTCGTATAAAATGATGGCATGCTAGTAACAGTCTAATAAACAAATAATAACGATAATAGTATAAATATACATAGTTGATTTATAATATAGGAATGACTGTAAAGATAGTATACAAGAGATTTGTACCGACCGACACACTGTATGTAAATTGAAAGATGGTTTTATGTTTTTTTGTTAATGTTATGTTTATCTTTGTCTAAAAAAATAAAAAACTTAAAAACAAAGAAATCAATGCCATAACTTTTCTTTTTCCCTTACTTTCCCCCACTATCCACTTCCCTTTCTCCTTTCCTAATTCCCTTAATATTTGCTTTTGTATTCTTTTTGTATGTCATATTATACATGAATAAAACTGTTCAAAAGAAGAAAAAGCGATCACATGACCCCAGGATAGTGCAACTGTCATAGATACATGCCAGTTGTCCAGTGCCCAGAGTTTGATCATGTGACCACGGGGATGCTGCAATGGCCGTAAGTGTGAAAAACCAGTCATAAGTCACTTTTTTTCAGTGATGCTGAGATTCGAACAAGTCATTAAACCAAGGGTCTCCAAACTTGGGATGTTTAAGACTGGTGGACTTCAACTCCCAGAATTCCTGAACTAACATGACTGGAGGAAGAATTCTGGGAGTTGAAGTCCACAAGTCTTAAAGCTGTTAAGTTTGAAGACCCCTGCACTAAACAAACAGTAGTAAGAGTTATGACCACAACGAAGCACCAACATTTCTGTTGTGAAGTGAAACGTTTGTGAAGAGAGATTTTGCCCCATGTTACGACCTTTCTTGCCACAGCTGTTAAGTGAATCACTGCAATTGTTAAGCTAGTAACACAGTGGTAAAGAAAATCCGGCTTCCCCATTTTGACTTTTCTTGTCAGAAGGGGATTGCAAAAGGGGATCATGTGACCTTGGCAACTGTCATAAATATGAACCATTTGCCAAGCAGCCGAATATTGACTGTGACTGTGAGGATTCTGCAAAGGTGGTAACTCTGAAAAACAGCCATAAGTCACTTGTTCAGTGCCGTTGTAATTTTGAATGGTCACAAAACAAACTGTTGTAAGTCAAGGACTACCTGTACTAAGATCCATCTCCAGAGGTTGTGACTGCTCCAACACTGGAAGTTTTTAAGAGGATATTGGATAACCATTTGTCTGAAATGGTACAGGGTTTCCTGCCTGAGCAGAGGGTTGGACTAGAAGACCTCCAAAGTCCCTTCCAACTCCATTGTTCTATTCTATTCCATTCCATTCCATTCCATTCCATTATTCTCTTCTCTTCTCTTCTCTTCTCTTCTCTTCTCTTCTCTTCTCTT